GACCAAAAGCATGACTGTTATGTTAACTGGTAACTCTAAATTGTCCCTAGGTGAGAGTGAATGGTTGTTTGTCTCTATGTGTGTCCCTGTGATGGACTGGAGACCTGTCCAGGGTGTACCCCGCCCCTCGCACTGTGACTGCTGGATATGGGCACCAGTGACCCTGAGGAAGAAGCATGTACAGAAAATGGATGGATGGATGGATTTTTTAAATTTATTTCAGAAACACACAGACACTTTTAAAAAGCAGCTTTGTGAAGTAACAGCAGCATTCATCTAAAGTAATGAAGCTTCCACCAGGCTTTCAATAATAATTTTACAATAATCTTATTTTGTGCATGTGCAAAACATTTTGATTACCTCTGTGTCATTAAATTCAACCCCCAACTATGAATTTAGTGATGGCATTTTTAATGTACTTATAAATTAAAATGTTTGTGTTTATCTTTAACAGGCTTCATGAACTGCGTATCCAGCCTTCACTGACTAAAGACGGTGTCTTCTCAGCTCTGAAAATGGCTGAACTTGAGTTTCCTCAGTTTGAGACACTTCAACTGGGATATGTAGATGAGTTCCTTCTGCAATGTAAGTTCTCCTGATATCACAATACTGAAATAAAACCGTAGTTCAGTTAGTGCAGCCAGTAGGGGAGTGACAGATGCATCTGTCTGTACCGAAGCCTGAAGGCTCCCACATACGGTACTCTATGCAGTCCTTGAGCTGCGCAGACGTTAGAGTTCATACTTGAATGTACTGACAGCCTGACAAATTCTTTAATTTTCTGCAGTTTCAGTCATGATGTCAAGGATGAGGAGGAAGAGATGGTTTGCATTTTAGCTTTAAAACAACAAAAGAAAAGAACTTACCCTGGATCTGAGCTATTTCCTCCCACTAATTTGTTGCTCGCTGAAAGTCTTCAGATCCCTTCATTTATGCATCATAAAGTTTTCTAATCCCCTCCATGAGATGCTCTTCAAATTTTGACTCCATTTTGTCCACAAATGAGACAGATTCTCAACTTTATCAGCTTGGTGTTGCATCCAATGCGTTCAATCTATTACAGCATAATAACTGTGGTTATTATGCTGTTTAACTTTTAACTATTTTTTTTTAACTATTAACTTTCACCTCCAAAAACAATCCAGTTCCTAGATGTTTAGAGACTGCTGTTCAAAATTAAGGGAGATGCTCCACAGTGGTATACGTAGACCTTTCCCACTTTGTTTAGATGTGTTGCTGCCATCAAGTTCAATCACCTTATATTTTTTTCACTTTTTGGTAAATTAATGATTTGTATTTGTAAAATACTGTTTCATTTTGTTCTATTTTTCTTGTAATGTTATAAATTTACCAAAAATAAATCAAAATCTATTTTTTTTTCATAAAATGTGTTTGATTTCTTAGTTTAAACATTTGATGTGTATGATGTGATCCATTATGTAACAAAAATGTGTTGATGAAATTTGCAAACAAATGCATTCTGGTTTTATTTACATTTTGCACATTGTCCCAACT